GCAGCAGCAGCAGCAGCAGCAGACGCCGTAGCAGCAGCTGCAGCAGCAAATGCAGCAGCAGCCCCTGCTCGAGCCCCTTTAATAAGCTTTGTGGGGTCTATGCCGGGTGCCTGCTGCTCTCCTCCACCTTCTTCTTGCCACCTCTTCAGGTGTCGCTGCCACCCAAACACATCATTTTTGTCTTTTTGTTCCCTTTCACGTTGCTTTCGGGTTCTGGGGGGCCCCGGGGGGCCCCCCTTGCTGGCACTTCCATTCGCGGGGATGAGTGGAGAGGCCGTACCTCCTGATGCTGCTACTCCTGCTGCTTCTTTTACATCAGATGACATCACGTATGCCCGCAAGGGGTCTGGGGGCTCCGGCATAGGCTGAAGCCTTCTGAGGCATTCTGTCTCTCTTTCTTTCCAGGGTTGGGGCCCCAGGGCCCCCCTCTCCGCTGGGTGTATAGGGTAGACTGCATGCAATTCATCTACCCAGGCTTCTGTGCTCCAGAAGAAGAGGGGGAGATATATAGGGCCACAAGGAATACACCAATAAGCACTATCTGCTAGGAGACGCACAAGGGCCTGTAATACAAATGCGGGCCCACTCAGATGCAACGGATTGTCTCCTTTTAGGTGACTCACAAGACTAGCAAAACCCTCAGCCTCGCGAGGCAGCAGCTCAATCGCTCCACAAGAAGAACGACGAGGCTGAAACAATGGAAAGGGCTTGCCGCCCTGCCCCTCCCGGGGCAAAGGGGGCCCCTCGGGGCCTTGAAAGCCTTGGGACTCTTGAGGCACCTGCACCCCTTGGGGCCCCTGGGGCCCCGGTGACCCTTGAGGCCCCTGGGGCTGTTGGGGCCTCTGCAGCCCTTGGGGCCCCTGGGGCTCTTGCGGACCTTGGGACCTCTGGTTCCCCTGGGACCCTTGGTGTCCCTGTTGCCCTTGGGGCCCCTGGGGCCCTTGGGGACTCTGCAGCTCTGGGGGCCCCTGTGTACGTTGTACCCCGTCCTGTGTTTGCTCTGTGATCTCCACAAGGCGAGCCAAGAAGGAGTCCTTGACGCATTCAGATTGTAAGACAGACCGAGGCAGAGACACACGGAGACCGTTGAGGCCAAAGACAACATCAGGAGACAGACGAGCAGCAGAAAGGGGACAAATAGAAGGAGACAAAGCTGAAGAGACACCCGAAACATGTGCAGCCATACGGCGAGCTTCACACCCCATACCTGCAACACCAATGGTCTCAGAAGAGGCAGAAGCAACAGCAGTTCCAGCAGCACCGCAACCAGCGCCACAGGCACTCGAAGATGGTGGGGGAGGGGCCCCCAAGACCACTGACTGNCAGCAGCACCGCAACCAGCGCCACAGGCACTCGAAGATGGTGGGGGAGGGGCCCCCAAGACCACTGACTGATGAGGGAGGCCGCCAACGAAGGAAACACCAGCAGATGAAGGTGAAAAGAAAAGGGGGGGCCCCTGAGATGCAGCTAGCGAGACATGGGCCCTTAAAGGGGGGGCGCCACGAGACGGGCTCCCAAGAGAAGGGGCCCCTGGAGAGGGGCTTCCAAAGGAAGTTGCCCGACGAGGGGAGTCCCCAGGTGAAGGGCCCCCAAGAGAAGGGGACCCAGGGGACGGGGCAAAAGGAAAAGGGGCCCCAGGAGAGGGGGCCTCAGGTAAGTTGGGCTCAGGGGAAGATGCTCGAGAGGGGATTACAGCTAATACAGGGGTGGGGATTTCGTGAGAAGGGGACTGTCGGAGACCCGCTGCGGGAGGTGCTGTCGTTGAAGGAAGAGGGGCCCCCTGGGGCTGCTGGCTGCGTTGGGGGTCTGTGGTGTCGTTTGGCTGCGCTCCCATCTCCCTCGGTCTCTGGTGCTAGTTGAGACGCAGGAGAAGACAGGGGGAGACAGGAGGAGGCAGGAGGGGACAGGAGAAGAGAGCGAGAGACAGGAAGAGACAATCTGAGTTCGTGTATAACCCAAGTAGACCCGCCGCTGGGCTCCGGAGCGGTGAGAGAGGGCAACGTAGAGAGGCCGTCAAGCTGGTGTTTTATTACGGTGACATCCATGAAACAAAAGAATAATATGAGTTGTTGTAATGTTTATAATATCAAAATAATAAAATTTCACAAAAAGAAGGGGCAAACCACCAGCAGCAGCCGCAGGTGCTCATACACCCGAACCACCGCAGCAGCGTGTATGACCGATGGTCACCTGCAGTCTCTGGGGGCGCTGTTGTCACCCCTTTAATATCCCTTTTCTTGAAATATATTAACAAATAACAATTTTAATCTAATATAATCCTATCTGCTGCAGTCCTGATGATAAAAAGGATTAAATAAATAATAAACTCCCCTCATACATCTCCCCCAGCCCCATTCGCCCTTCTGTAGCACTATGGAGAGTTGTGAAGGGGAGAGATACGGGAGACACAGAACGCCAGAGTATTAACAAGAATAAACTTCCTCAGAAAGAGACAGTATAGAGGCCCACCAAGGGGCCCCCTCCATCTACCTCTCGCTTACCCCGGCTTGCCTCTCCCAGGGGGCGCCCAGGGGGGTCTGTCTCCTCCGTTTGCGGGCTCTCCCGTTGCTGTGTCAGTAACCAATACGCCCCGCGCAGGGGCCTCAGGGGGCCCCCAATGAACTAAGACCTCGCGCATACGACTGAAGGCAGGCTCGGCTCTGTCTACACACGCAACCACTGCTGTCTTAACTAAGAGATGTGTGTCTGTCTCTCCCATTAACGTGTGTTTGTTTCTCTTCTCATCTATACACCATCACCACACTACTGATATGTGTGTGTCTGTCTCCTCGCGTCTACGCAAGACCAAAGCTCTACTAATGCAGAGACAGCTGGAAACGATGCGAGCAAGAAACAAAGAGACAACGAAGAAATTCACAGGCATATAAGATGGAGCTCCTCCCACAGACATAGAAATAGAATCGGAGACAGCGATGGAGACAGAAACGGAGGCAGAGACAGATGAAGACAGAAACGGAGGCAGGAGAAGTCTCTCTCTCAGAAGCAGACAAAAAGAGAAAAAAGCAGCTACAGAGAAGGAAACAGAAACGTAGACAAAGAAAGAAACAGAAGAAAGAGACAGCGACAAAAACAGACACAAAAGAGACAGAGACAGCAATAGAAGCATAAGCAGAGACAGAGCTGTATGCCTTTTTAAGTTGCCCGCTGAGTCCGGTAAAAGCAATATGTCAACACCACCGCCCCCAAAAAAACGTAGAAAGAAAAAAAAAAGAGTTGAGGAGACTGCAAGGGTTGTTGTTGTTTGGTTGTTATAAAAGAGGGTTTACTAGGGTTGTTGTTATTGCTTGGACTTTTGTTAAACCATCAACATCCCCAGAGTTGTTAATATTATTATTATTATTATTAACTCTGAATATAATAATAATTAATAATATTAATAATATTAATATTATTTTTTTTATTTATTTATATACTTATTAGAGAAGGGGGTTCGCCGCTGTGGGGCCCCCCGCGTTGTCTCCCTGTGGGGTGTTAGAATTTGGTCGTTCCTCTTTCGGCTTCTTAGTGCTGGAGGAGGCCTCATCCTTGTCCATCTCAGCCCTGCACAAACTCTAAACCCTAAACCCTAAACCCTTAATCCTAAACCCTAAACCCCAGGCCCCTTCTGTCTGTGTACCACGTGACTGACAGTTCATCCATAGGGCGCATACAACCCTCCTAAAAACAGGACAGGGAGAGAAACGGCAGCATCCGCAGCAGCAGCAGCAGCAGTTGCTGCTGCAGCTGCAGTTGCTGCTGCAGATGCAGTTGCTGCTGCAGCTGCAGCTGCTGCTGCAGCTGGTTAGTGGGCGTACCTGCGTTTACCCGCTCTGCTCTTGGGCCCCCAGTTCGGTGTGGGGTTTGGGAGCCAGCGGGGGACTTGTCTCCCCGGCTGTTTGTTCTTCTCATCAACAGAAGGAGGAGACAAATCAATGCCTTTCGTCCTGCATATACACCCCAGCCCCACACCAATAAAAAAGAAGTCAAAGACAAGGAACGCACGCGTCACACAGCTGAGCATGCATGCAGCATGCATGCATGCGTGGAATATATATGCAAGGTTAGTGTTGGGGTTTTGTGCGTACTGTATGGGTTTATTAAGAACTGGGAATCTGTCGATATTTGCTGGGGGCTTGCTTGCTGCATGCGCCCGAAGAACATCAAAGACAACAACACTGGGGGCATTCGTCTTCACAGCCTGNGCTTGCTTGCTGCATGCGCCCGAAGAACATCAAAGACAACAACACTGGGGGCATTCGTCTTCACAGCCTGAGGGTCACGATGAAAGCGAGACGCTGAGTAACCTAGGCGGCGCAATGCTGCCCTGAGCAGACAGGAAACAGGGGACAAGAGACAGGAGACAGGTGAGAGGAGACAGAAGACAGAGGACAGGAGATAGGAGACAGGTGAGAGGAGACAGGAGACAGGGGACAGGGCAAAGGAGACAGGTGAGAGGAGACAGGAGACGGGTAAAGCGACAGAGGAGACAGGTGAGAGGAGACAGGAGACAGGGGACAGGAGACAGGAGACAGGTGAGAGGAGACATGTGAGATAGGAAACAGGTGATAGGTGATAGGAGACAGGAGTGATGAAAGAGGAGAGAGGAGACAGGAGGGAGGAGACACCAGATAGGGGACAGGACAGAGGAGACAGCAGAGATGAGACACGGCAGAGGAGACAGTATAGAGCAGATAGGAGACAGAAGAAGGAGATGAGATAGGAGACAGGAGAGACAGGAAAGAGGAGACATGAAACACGACAGTAGTAGGTCACCCCGTGCTGCACCGCCAGGGCCGTGTATGAGTATTTTTCTGTTGCGTCTCAGTAGCAGCAGCAGCAGAGACAGAAGGACATTTATCTGTTTAATTAAACTAAATTAAAAAAAGAAAAAAAAGAAAAAAAAAAGAAAAAGACCTACATAAAACAAGAAGGACGAATCATGCTGAGTTTATTTCGCGTGCATAAAGACGGCAGCTGATAGTGCAGAGCAACGTCGGGCAGCTCCTGAGGTGTACGTACACCGCAGCACACAACACCACAGCTCAAGGGAGAAGCAGCAGCAGCAGCAGCAGCAGCAACAGCTCTAGTGATAATTCGCCTTCCTGTTACTGTTGTTGCAGCTCTATGCTGCAGCAGCAGCACGCACAGCAGCAGCAAGCACAGCAGCAGCAGCTCAGCTGTTGCTGCTCCAGCAGCGTCTGCTGCTACGCGTTGCTGCAACAATACCCTGCAGCAGCAGCTGCTGCTGCAGATAAGAGACAGATGCATGCAAAGGAGACAAACCTCACGCAAAGCCGTCAGCATCCCCCTAATGCGATCCTGCATCGTCAGCCCCGGAAGTGTCTCCTTGCTGTTTTCTAACACCTCCAGGCACATATCAACAAAATCCTACAGACACAACACATGCACAACACCCTGCTGCCACTGCTGCTGCTTCTGCTGCTGCTGCTGCTGCTGCTGCTGCTGCTGCTGGTGCTGTTGCTCTTGATGCAGCTGCAAGAAGTGTTGCTGCTGCGGCTACAGGGCGGTATAACGATACTCCAGGTGCAGTGCAGTGCTTCAGCGCTGTTGATAGAAACCCTTGCTGCTGCTGTTGCTGCTATTGCTGCTGCTGCTGCTGCTGCCAGTGCAAACTGCATGCACGCATGGATGCATCCAGCTTGCATGCAGCCCCAAAGAGCTAGACTAACTAAGAAGAGTATTGCCTCACTGGGTCGTAGTATCTTCCACTGTATAGGGGGCCCCCTATTAAGCAGCGGCCGCCGCACTCGCTGCACTGGGGCCCCACACCCTCAGGCACAGCCGCTGCTCTGAACCGCATTTTGCCGCCCCCAGCTGGCATGCTGTCTTCCCACCCGCTGCTGCACTGGTTGCTGCTGCTGCTGCTGTTGCTGCTGCTGCTGTTGCTGCTGTCGTTGCTGCCGTTGGTGATGCTGCTGCTAGACTCCCCACCAGCAGCAGCGTCCGCGCTCCCCTCCTCAGCAACAGACCCCACACACTGCTGCTGCTGCGGCT